TACCGTGCAGGCCCCGGTAAAGACACCGTATACCGTGCAGGTCCCGGTAAAGACCCCGTTTACCGTGCAGGTCCCGGTAAAGACCCCGTTTACCGTGCAGGTCCCGGTAAAGACACGTTTACCGTGCAGGTGCCGGTAAAGACACATGTGCCGTACACTCGGCACGCAAGAACTTCTGGTGCCAGACGTGCAAGATGGCGGTGTGTCGTGACTGTACAGTCGTGGGACACAGGCAGGCGCTCGGGCATAAGGTTTGTGTACAACTTCACTCGTTTGTGTGAATAAAATATTCACTAGTAATAAAAAAAAGAGAAAATTCAACATTATATTTTATGGAGAAAGTTTCCGAGTTCTGTTCCATCGTCAGATGCTAAGACTGTACTAACAAACTACTGTAATAATAATAAAAGACTGTACTAAGAAGTTAAACGACTCTTCTAACAATACTTTAGGTACTAATTGTACAATGACTGTACCAACAATGACTGTAATAATAATAAATTTTATCTGTGGTCTAGAATTCACGGAGTGACGATGGAGCTGAACTCCGAAAAGTTTTCTATAAAATAAGCTGCATTTTTGTGGAATTTCCTTGGCTTTAAAATTTCATGGGAACATTTCTGTGCCTTTTTACAGTGGGCAAAGAGCTATGGCAATCTATCGTAAAATTAAGTGGCATTTATTCTATTTTGTGTAGGTAATACTGACACAATTTGGCCCTAAGCAAGGATGTATCAGTGCTAGGTGCAGAAAGTGCGTCACCGACATTTAGACACCAAGACCCACTTATATTTATGCGTGCAGGTGCTGGACCACGACGAGGCGGTGACGTGTCTGCGCGGTGAGGTGCGCCAGGCTGCGCTGGACACGCGCAACCTGCGCCAGGAGACGCGCAAGCTGCGCCACGACCAGCGCGTCTACCTCAACCGCCAGCTGGACGCCTGCCGCGCCTTTGAGAAGCAGCTTAAGGCGCAGCTTAAGGCGCTGTCCAGTGATAAGAAGGAAGAGGTAAGAGACAAGGCGCAGCTTAAGGCGCAACTTAAGGCGCTGTCCAGTGATAAGAAGGAAGAGGTAAGAGACAAGGCGCAGCTTAAGGCGCAACTTAAGGCGCTGTCCAGTGATAAGAAGGAAGAGGTAAGAGACAAGGCGCAGCTTAAGGCGCAACTTAAGGCGCTGTCCAGTGATAAGAAGGAAGAGGTAAGAGACAAGGCGCAGCTTAAGGCGCAACTTAAGGCGCTGTCCAGTGATAAGAAGGAAGAGGTAAGAGACAAGGCGCAGCTTAAGGCGCAACTTAAGGCGCTGTCCAGTGATAAGAAGGAAGAGGTAAGAGACAAGGCGCAGCTTAAGGCGCAACTTAAGGCGCTGTCCAGTGATAAGAAGGAAGAGGTAAGAGACAAGGCGCAGCTTAAGGCGCAACTTAAGGCGCTGTCCAGTGATAAGAAGGAAGAGGTAAGAGACAAGGCGCAGCTTAAGGCGCAACTTAAGGCGCTGTCCAGTGATAAGAAGGAAGAGGTAAGAGACAAGGCGCAGCTTAAGGCGCAACTTAAGGCGCTGTCCAGTGATAAGAAGGAAGAGGTAAGAGACAAGGCGCAGCTTAAGGCGCAACTTAAGGCGCTGTCCAGTGATAAGAAGGAAGAGGTAAGAGACAAGGCGCAGCTTAAGGCGCAACTTAAGGCGCTGTCCAGTGATAAGAAGGAAGAGGTAAGAGACAAGGCGCAGCTTAAGGCGCAACTTAAGGCGCTGTCCAGTGATAAGAAGGAAGAGGTAAGAGACAAGGCGCAGCTTAAGGCGCAACTTAAGGCGCTGTCCAGTGATAAGAAGGAAGAGGTAAGAGACAAGGCGCAGCTTAAGGCGCAACTTAAGGCGCTGTCCAGTGATAAGAAGGAGGNCCTTATCTCTCCTTATCTCTCCTTATCTCTCCTTATCTCTCCTTATCTCTCCTTATCTCTCCTTATCTCTCCTTATCTCTCCTTATCTCTCCTTATCTCTCCTCACCCTCCTTATCTCTCCTTATCCCCCCTTATCCCTCCTCACCCTCCTTATCTCTCCATCAGCTGCGTCAGTTGGAGCGTGCCGAGACAGACGCGAGCACGTGCACGAGTCTCACGACGCTCATCGAGACGGCGAGACGAGCGGGCGAGGTGCGTCTCGCCGCCGCGCGAGACTTCGCCATGGCCAAGAAGGCCATGACGGACAACCTGCTGGCGGTCACGCAGCTGAACCGGTCCTCCGATGAGCTGGACATGCAGGATGGCCCGTGAGTGTTGCGTGATGGACCGTGAGTGGTGTGCGTGATGGCCAGTGAGTGATGGATGATGGCCCGTGAGGAGTGGACAGACCGCATGTATGATGGCCAGAGGACATTTTTGCTAATTTGTCTATCATATTTATTACTAATTTGTTACACTAAATATTGCTCATATAAATCTTTTAATATTGGTATTTTATTACCCTAAAATTTCCACATTTATAACCTAAAATTGTTCATTTGTTACCCTAAAAATTTCTCATTTGTTGCCCTGAAAATTTTTCGCAGGGTTTACCTAAATATTTTTCATTTTTACCCTAAATGTTATTCATTTATTACCGTCACTATTACTCATTACCCTGATCATCCCCCAGGGGCACGACCCATCATCCCCCCGGGTCCCCCAACCTGGAGCGCAAGGGGAAGCTGACGTCGCGCGGCTTCCGTCAGTCGTGGCACGTCAGCCGCCCCGCCATCAGCTTCGATGGCGGTGACATGGCGGCCAAGATACGACCGCTGCCTAAAGTCTACATAGACCTGGCCATCGAGGGCATCCAGGTGAGCCATTGAGAGCATCCAGGTGGGCCATCGAGGGCATCCAGGTGGGCCATCGAGGGCATCCAGGTG